ATCCCGCTGCACGCGGCCCCGCACCAGGCCGTGGCGGAGATCGACGCTCTCTACGACGTGTACCTGGACGTGATCGACAAATGGGGCTCCGACGTAAGCCCGCTGTCCCCCTCGGTCCCCCTCGGTGCGCTCTGGGGATCTGGGCCAGGGAGGGCGGGGACCGCGCAGCTCAGTTCCGCCGCACCCGCACCCGCACCCGCAGGACATGCTATTCCTCGGAGACTTCAACGCAGACTGCAGCTACGTGCGGGCGCAGGACTGGGGCGCCATCCGCCTGCGCAGCAGCGAGGTCTTCAGGTGGCTCATCCCCGACAGCGCCGACACCACGGTGGGCAACTCCGACTGTGCCTACGACCGCATCGTGGCCTGTGGTGCCCGCCTGCGCCGGAGCCTGAAGCCCCACTCGGCCTTGGTGCACAACTTCCAGGAGGAGCTTGGCCTGGACCAGACTGAGGCGAGAGCGAGTGCAAGTGCGGGCGGGATGGGGTGCCTAGCCCTGCGGCGGATCGCTGCCCCCCACCCCCAGTTCTCCTAGCAGTGCAGCCCTGCTAGCGGGAGCCTTCTGGAAGGTGGGATGCCTGCCAGCTCACTGCCTTTCCCACACAGCGCCAGTCGCGGCCCTGTACCCTGCCTACCACAGGCGGCACCGGGGTAGACAGGAGGCTTGCAAGTGCGGGCGGGATGGGGTGCCTAGCCCTGCGGCGGATCGCTGCCCCCCACCCCCAGTTCTCCTAGCAGTGCAGCCCTGCTAGCGGGAGCCTTCTGGAAGGTGGGATGCCTGCCAGCTCACTGCCTTTCCCACACAGCGCCAGTCGCGGCCCTGTACCCTGCCTACCACAGGCGGCACCGGGGTAGACAGGAGGCTGCCGGCCCTCCAGACGCAGCCATTTCTCACCCAGTGGGTCCACTGGCGCTGGGAGCTTTCCAAGGGGGAAGTGGAGGGGGCGCTGGCTGTCCAGCAGCACCTGAGGCCCCTTCCCCTCTCCCTCCAGGCGCTGGCCGTCAGCGACCATTTCCCTGTGGAGGTGACCCTCAAGTCCCACTGACTGCTCCGAGGCCTGGCCAGGGTATGCCACCTGCAGAGGGATGACCCCAGGGAGGGTCCTGGGTGGCAGGCACCCGAGCCACAGGGCAGGGACCCGTTGTGGGGCCAGAGCCTTAGTCCCTATGTGTAGATGGGCCGCCGCCTTCCTCGGGGCTCCTGTGGGGTGCCCAGCACACACCTGTGCTCGACACCCGAGCCGCTCCCCGCAGGACCACAGAGGTCACCGTGAGGCCTGCCTTCTCAGGACTCAGCCCTTCTGGGCACATGCCCCGTCCCAGCTGCGTCACAGGGTCACCTCAGGTCCCGGAGGGAAGGGAAGCTTTCTGTTCTTCCTGCACAAGCCGAGTGCTTCCAGAACTTGTCCAGAGCCTGCATGGTAGGGCAGGACGCTGGCCACCAGACTAGCTGCCTGGGCCCTGGGGGACCTCAGAGCAGGTCTCCCTGTGCGATCTTACAGCCTCTTCTGAGTCCTGCAGGAACCCTCGGACGCATCTGTACCCAGCACTGTGAGGTCAGGGGCTGTGGTCCACCCCTCAGCCAGTCAGATCCCCTGTCAGGGAGGGGCCAGCCTTCTCCCCCATCCTAGGCAGGCAGCTCAGGCTCGGGTCCTGCCCAAAGAATGGCGCCCTGGGCCAGCCAGTGGCACAGTGGTTAGGGCAACTGGTTCCCACGTGGCCACGTGCTTTGAATCCTGGCCCCAGTGGCTTGAAAGGCAGGTGAGGTGTGCCCGGAATGCTGAGCGCGGGATGGAGGAGACAGTGCAGTGTGGCTACCGCCCCCGGGGAGGGCAATTTCTCACTCCCGCCGGCGAGCGCACATACCTCATAGCGAAGTGAAAAACAGACTGCAGGACTGCACCCCTTGCCTGGCACAGCCCTCAAGGGTACCTTCCTGGGTAGTCTCCTCCTCAGGAGCTGGGGAGCCCGCCTCTTGAAGGGCAGGGACAAGCAGTTCTAGGTACACGGGGTGACTGACATGGTCTTAGGAGGTCTGTGGCTTTCGGAAATCCCATCTTTGGCAGGATCTGGGAACTGGCCTACACTGCATGGGAGAAAAACCCTTTGTGTTGAGGATTTGGATGAGTGGGGTCCTTGCAGTCTCGTCAGCGGGCTCAGGGCCCCATGGCAGCCTCAGAGCAGGGCTCACTCCACTGCCCTACCCATGGCCAGGTGCGGCAGCTAAGGCCTTTCCCTGGCAGGTCCTATGTGGGTTGCTGGGAGGTCGTGACCTACCTGGGGGCTCAGGCCTCCAGCAAGCAGGCAGCCCGCAGCTGGGAGGGACAACCCAGGGCTTCAATCTGAGAAGAGCTGGGGTGGTCTTGCTGGGCCCCACTTGCCTGTTCACGAGGGCCAAATCGAGACCCCAGCCCCACCTCCCAGGCTGCCTGCCATGCAGAAAGGGCACCTGTGTGGACGGAGGTGGGCGGCCAGGAACAGAACTTTCTCGAACCAGTGACACAGAGCAGGAAGCACTCATAGACAGAAAAGTAGCTTGTTTAAAACCCCCTGGACCAGAGGGGCCCCAGGGAACACACGTGGCCAGCGGCCTTGGAGCGGCCTGGCCTCAGCCCTTCCTTTGCTTGAGCTTCTCTAGGTACGCCTGCAGGGCCTTCTGGATGGAGTCTCTGGACAGGAAGCTGACGAAGTTCTGGACGTCTGCGTCCCGCTGCCTAAGCAGGCGGTCTGCCGTGGCCCTGCGCATCATGCTCTTGGTCAGCTGCCGAGCGTGATCTGAAAGGGAGGCGGTTCTCTGCAAACCCACTTCTGGAGACAGTGGGGCCCTCTCCAGCCTTCTGAGGAGCGTTCTAGCACACTTCTGTAGAAAATCCAGATGAGCAGGGGTGGCCCCACACACAGCACTGCTGTGTGTGGAAAGCTGGATTCCATATGGCCCTCCAGGTTTGAATCCCGGCCCCAGTGGCAGCTGGAGAACATACTAGGCATGTGTGTGTGTGTGTGCCCCAGATCCCGACCAGACGGAGGCCTGGAGGAAGACGTGACTGGCACGGCCGTGCGCCACGAGCGGGCTCTTAGCTTACTCCCAGTGAGCACGCGCCATGCAGTTAGCCTAACAGGAAGGAAGGCCAGGCCAGCAGAGGGAAGAGAAGGAAGTCCCGGTCTCCAGCTGCTCCTGTAGAAAACGCAGGGTACTGTACACTGGTTTCTCTCTCTCTCTCTTTTTTAAAGAATGATTTTATTTAACTTTGTTAATTATGGTTATTTCAATTGACCAGAGAGAGAGAGGGAAAGTGAGGAAGCAAGGTGCCCGGCCCACGACCTGAAGCGGTCAGCCACGTGGAGTCCAGTGCCGAACCACCACGCCAGCTGCCGGCCCCCGTACACTGCTCCCCTGCTGTGCCGGGTCTACCGTGCACGTCAGCGAGTGCCCGCTGCAGCACAGCTCGGCAGGCAGCGGTCTGTCTGCACAGGGGCCGGCGCGCGGCTCTCCAGACTCCTTAGCTAGAGGGGGTTCTACGTTTTTAGTGGCTTTTGCCCTAGGGCACGTGTGCTCACAGGAGAGACAGGAAACAGCGAGAGGGAAAGCGAGAAAGCACCCCCTGGGGGGTGGCCATGCTGCAATCCCTTCTTCGCCATTCTCCTGGAATCTTGGGGACATGTGTACACACACCCAGCATGATCTTCAAGTCACCGGGTCTGGGATTTGAACTGCAGCTGGCTATGTGGGAGTCCAGCGACCTAACTGCACGCCGTCTGCTGGCTCCAAGTCTTTAAAACTGAGGAAGTGAAAGTGAAGGGCAGTATTCGTGCCCGGGAGAGCGTGAGACTCTGGGGGTGGCTGGGGCACAGTGGGAAGGTGCAGGGCGGGAGGCTGGGGTTGCACCCAGAGCCTCCCTGAGGGTGCTGGGGCGCCGGTCTGCCCTGTCTGCCTCGGGCGGCAAGTAAACAGACTTAGAGGAGACCCTGTGAGACACGAGTTCCGCGCCGTTTTCCTGGGACACAGCCTGGCTCGGGAGTCATCCGCGGCGGCTCCTGGTCTTGGTCTTGGAGGGGACAACCAGACCTGGTTCTAGAGACAGACAGGTTTCCGACTGTCTACACAGCAGGCTGACTGGCAGGCTCTGAAGACGGACGCGTGGTCCTACGCCCTCTAGACCCTGTGGCTATAATCTTATTTGGAAGAAGAGTCTCTGAAGACGTAATTACATGATCTCGTTCAGGCTCGGCCCCAAATCCAATGCGGGTGTCCTCATAAGAGAAGAGAGAGGGAGCCAGCCAGGTGGCGTGGTGGTTAAGGCTCTTGACCCCACGTGGCTGAGCGCAGTTCAAGTCCTGGACTCAGCAACGTGCATGCCCCAAACCCTGAACGGGGAGTGGAGGACTGGCTGTGGCCACACCCCCTGGGGAAGGCTTTCTCACTTTAACCTCTGGCGATCTATGGCAAGTCTAAAAAGAAAGAAAGGGGACACAAAGGCTCCAGGGAGGATGTGGCCTCCAGTGCCTGGAGCCACGGCGGAGAGGGGCAGGAAGACCCTCCCCTGGAGCCTGGGCTGCGGCTGCACACGGCTTGCTTTGGGGTCTCTGGCCTGGGAAGGGTGAGAATCACCCTCTGAGGTTTGAGTCCCCTAGCCCGGTCCTCTGTTCTGGCTGCCTGCTATTATGAACAGTCCCTGCACATACGTGACCTTGGCAGGTGAGAACGCTGTCTCTCACCAGACTCCTCAGGGCCCCCCTCTGCCATCTGGCCCCACAGCGGCCCGGCCCCTCCTCACCTGGGATGGCCATCCACTGGGCCATCACAGAAAGTGCTGTGCTCTGCACCTGGTCCTCAGGCACCACCTGGTCCACCATGCCCACCTGGAGGGCCGCTGCCGGGGGGAAGAGCAGCCCCAGCTGCAGGGCACGCTCCGCGGCTCGGTGCCCGATGGTGTTCACCAGGGTGTCTTTGAACCTGGAACACATAAACGCTTTGAGGTGCTGGGGCTCCTGTGGTGGGGAAGGGGGGATTCCGTTCTGCCCAGGGACAAATGCTAAGTGGGACACAGCCTTGGTCTTACCAGAAGGGGGCGACAATGCCCAGCACGGTCTCGTTCAGGCCTGTGACATACTTGGGGTTGTCAGCCAGCACTCGGTAGTCGCAGGTCAGGGATATGAGGCAGCCTCCGGCAATGCAGGGGCCCTGCAAGGAGAAGCAAGGCTGTGCCACCGTGAGGGTCTGCTCTCGGGCCTGCATTCCAAGAGCTGGCGCCAGGATGCCCAAGGGAGGCCCTGCACCCCCAGGCCTCAGGGCGCTGTCTGAGCTGGGTCCTGGCTTCTTTCAAAAGTGTAAAGGGAAGGGGGAACCAGCAGTTAGCGTAATGGCTATGTCGCTGGACTCCCACGTAGTCGACCGCGGTTCGCGTCCCGGACCCGGTGGCTTAAAACTCACGCCGGGCGCGTGTGCGTGCGTGCCCAAGATCCCGAGAGGAGAATGGAGGAGAAGGGATTGCGGCGTGACCATCCCCCCTGGGGATGGTTTCTCGCTTTCTGTCTCTATGTCTCTCTCTGTCTGTCTGGCGAGCGCACGCGCCCTACAGTGAAAATCTCTCCAAAAAAATAAAGAAAAGTGTAAAGGGAAGGGATCAGCAGTTAGCGTAATGGCTATGTCGCTGGACTCCCATGTAGTCGACCGTGGTTCGAGTCCCGGACCCGGTGGCTTAAACTCACACCGGGCACGTGTGCGTGCGTGCCTGCCCAAGATCCCGAGAGGAGAAGGGATTGCGGGGTGGCCATCCCTCTGGGGTGATTTCTCGCTTTCTGTCTGTCTGTCTGGTGAGCTCACGCGCCCTACAGCAGAAACCTCTTCAAAGAAAGTGTAAATGGAAGAGGGTGGGGAGAGGGAGGCACTCAACCGGGTCTCAGCAGCCCCGCCTTCCACCGGCTGGGGTGGGTGCATGCCTGGCGGGTGCAGCCGGCCGAGGACTGAGCTGTGACCTCCACACAGCCAGCCTGGCTCAGCACCGGCTGCTCTGCCCTCCCTGCAGCCTTACCATCACCTGGGGGCTGGGCCTCCCCTGCCAGAGTGAGGCTTCCCTGACCACCCGCTGGCTCTTTCAGAGGTCCCCAGGGAACAGCTGCCCCCAGCTCCTCCTCCACCTCAAGCTGGTCAGTGCATGTCCCAAGGCCTCCCCAGCTGCCACTTCCCCTCTGAGAGCTTCCCAGGGAGGACCCGTGAGCCAGCGAGGCCACTCACATTGATAGCAGCAACTGTCACCAGCTTGGACAGGTAGAGCCGCAGCCACAGCTCCTGGACGGCCCTCCAGTACTCGGCGTAGTGGCCCGGGCTTTTCCCACACATCTCCAAGAGGTCTAGGCCGGCTGAGTAGATGCCAGGGCAGTCCTGGGGGAGTAGTTGGGGCCAGGTGCCCATCAGAGTCCAACTCCTGGCTGGCTTCATGCCCTGGGCCGGGTCTTGCTCAGGGCGGCGACAGGGCAGCTTGGGCCTCCCCCAGACCCAGCTCCCATTTCCTGAGCTCCCTTCCCTTTCTCGCTTTCAAGCAAGGAGCAGGCGGGCCTGTGAAGCTGGCCGTACTCTGCCTCCTCGGTGCTGGCACAGAGCAGGGGCCCTGGTACCGGCTAGGGGGAGCAGGCGCCAGTGAGGGTCCAGGCCAGATGCCACCCTGGCCACCGAGAACAGCCTTGCTCCACTGCTTCAGCCACTGCTCCTTCGGGCCCACCCTCGTGGCCTCAGACTCCGCTAACTTCTCCGTCTGCTGTCCCGTGGCAGCGCTCTTCCCGTGGATGCCCACTGTGGTGGCCAGCATGCGGGGCCACGCCGAAGACCCCCACAAGAATCCAGATGGACAGAGTGCTCTCTGAGAGCCCAGCCTCAATCCCTGCCCAGAGGGGGGCATGGCATTTGGGACAAGCTGTGGACACACAGGACTGGCTCAAGGTGCCCAACGGCTCTTGGGGAGGGCACCTGCCAACCTGTGCCAAGTCTGCATTGCTCTACCTGAAGGTCACTGCCCCTCCCGGTTCTGGCTCAGGCTGCCAAGTGGCCTTGGAAATTGGTCTGCCTTGGGCATGCCGCACCGCGGGCACAAGGGGTCCCTGATGGGCCACCCCTAGACTCTGCTCCTTGGATGTCCCTCCTGGTGGGCCCGCCGCCTCTCTGGCCCGGTGGTGAGGTCACACCTCAGACCGCAGGGCCGGACAGGAGCAGCACCTACCGAGCTCAGGACGATGCCGCGGAAGGCCTTGTCATTCTCCAACTTCTCCAGGGTGATGACGAGCTCCGTCAGGAGCTCCAGGCTAAGGCTGTTCACCGGGGGATTCTTGAGTTTTATCACAGCGACCCCTTGTTTAAAGGACGAGGAAGGGAAGCTCAAGCCAGGCACCCTGACTAGGCCACGCCCTCCCCAGCCATCAGTAACCCCTCGGTTTTGGGGGGCTAAGTGAGGTGAGAGTCAGGGAATATAAAGCATCTTCCAGGGAACAACTGGCCACAAAGAACCCCCCAGGCTGCCCTGCGCCAAGGACCGCTCCCGCTCCTTGCTCTAGCAGCCAGTCTGCTTTCTGCCCCTGGGCCCCGGCCCTGCCCCTGGCACCTCCCTGGGCCCCGGCTCTGTTCATAACAATGGAATGTGGACGTGGTCTTTTGTGACTGGCTTCTTTCAAGGCCCATCCAAGGTGTTGCATGTGTCAGAATCCCCACTTTATTTGCCTCAGGGCAGGTGCACTCCTAAGGGCAAGAGGCAAGCAGAGAGGGTGGGAGAGGGAGAAAGCACCCCCGGGCCATGCCGCAGCCCCTCCCTCCTTTTGTGGTTTTGGGCACACATGCACACACACCCTGCCTGTCTCTCCAGCTGCCAGGGCCAGGCTTCGGTTGGCCATGTGGATCTGGCTCCCTTAACTACCAGGCCACGACTGGCCCAGAATTTCATTATTTCTCAGGCTAAATAAAACCCCGCTGACGCGCAGAGGGCATTCTAGCTCTGCTGACAGATCCTCAGAGTTTCTGCGGCCGAGCTATGGGAGCAGCGCTGGGGCGAGCTGTGACACCTGGGCCACATGGAGCCCTCTGAGGACCCGCCAGACCACACTGCTGAAATAAACTTCTGGGGCCAGCAGATGGTATGGTGGTTAAGGCCCTGGAATCCCACATGTTGACCACGGTTTGAGTCCCGGACCTGGTGACTTGCTTTCTCACTTTTCCTCTCTCTCTGGTGAGCATGCATGTCCTATAGCAAGCTTAAAATAAATTAAAATAATAATAAAAAGAAAGAAATTTCTATGCCAGAAGGTCCTGGATGGTGATGAGGCTGCGCAGGTGAACGTCGGCAAGGCCTTGCACCCCCTGGACATGGCGCTGGGCACTGTCAAGGGCGAGGTTCTGAGAGCTGCTCTGATGCCGGGTTTTGGGACAGGGACAGACGCAGAGGTAGGCACGTGGGAAACGTGGATGGGGTGGGAGGAGCCGACACCAGGGCGGGCTGTGCTGTGAGGCTGGAGGTCGGGGTGCTGCGGCTAGGGCTGGTGGCGCGTGAGGAGGGTGCTCCTGCGGCTGAGCGTGTGGCCAGGTCAACGAGCCTCCACTCCCATTAGGGTAGCGCCCATGAGCACTGGGCCTGCAAGGTGAGCATGGGGTTTCCCGTCCCCAGCTCGGTTCGGGCAGACCCAGAACACCCGGGCCCTGCTCCCGGACACAGATCTGGACCTCTGTTAGCACCGCTCACGGACAGGGTGACTTCGGCCCTGAACGTTTCTGCCCGGGACCCCAACATGTGCTCAGATCCACAGCACAGCACTGGCACCTCCACTCCTGCCTCAGTCCACCCTTCAGGCCCAGCCGCTGACCCTCTGCTGCCCCCTGGAGGCTCCTTCCTGCGGGCAGGCCCCTGCAGTGACGCTGGTTTCCTTCTAGAACTCCAGGGTTCCTGTGAAAGTAAAACCAGGGCACCCCCCCACCCCCGGAGACCACCACACCCCACCAGGGTGTTGGGGAGTGGAATGGTCTCCTCTGCTCTGGGGCAGCACCTTCACTGCTAAAACACACTTGCGGGCCGGCCACAGCCTGGTAGTTATGAGAGCCAAAGCCCACAGGGCCAACCAAGGTTCCAATCCTGGTCCTGGTGGCGTGAAAAACATCCCAGGGGTGTGTATATGCCCCGAACCCCGGTAGGAAGGGGAACTGTAGGAGCAGGGTTTGCAGCGTGACCACACCGCACTGAGTGAGGGTGCTTTCTCTCTTTTCCTCTCTCTTGCTCTCTGGGGAAACTATATGCCCTATGGCAAAGAAATATTTTTTTTAAAGAATTATTTAATTAATCTATTTATTATTATTTTTTCACATGGATTTTGTCAGAGAAAGAGAGAGAGAAAGCTTCCAGGTCTGGGACTTGAACCACGATTGGTCATGTGGGAATTCCAGTGCCTTGACCACCACGCATGCTGCTGGCCCCGCCAAAGAAATTTTTTTAATTAAAAAAAAAAAATTGCTAGAGTATGTGCACACTTGAGCGCGTGCATGCGCATGAGAGAGAGCTTAACCCCCCTCCCCAGGATGGCCATGCCACAATCTCTTCTCCACTCTTCTCTCAAGAATCTGGATACACGTGCGCACCCAGCATGCCTTTATCTTCAAGAGATTTTTGCTATAGGGGATGTGTGTTAGCCAGAGAGACAGACAAAGTAAGAAATCACCCTCTAGGGGGATGGCCACACTGCAATCCCTTCTCCTCCATTCTATTAAGGTTTTGGGCACACACACATACACACAACCGGTGAGAGTTTTAAGCCACTGTGTCTGGGACTTGAACCGTAGTTGGCCATGTGAGGGTCTAGGAGTTTAACCACTATGCCACCTGCTGGTCCTGCCACTTTGAAAATCTCAAGATATTTACTATTTTTTTCTTTATTTTTTTTACAATTAAAGTATTCATTTATTTTGGTACAAAAACTTTTCGAAATTCATACACAATTTTCCCATTAAAGCATTGTCAAAGCATAAAAATGTGATTTCCCATCAGGAATATACTGCATAGTGCCTTAATCATGCATGTTATCGTCAATAATTTTCCATTTCTAGTTTATATATATAATATATATACACACACACACACACACATACATACATACACATACATATTACCCCTATTTCTGAGAGGTTTTCTTTTTTTTTTGCTATACAGCGCGTGCGCTTGCCAGACAGACAGCAAGAAATCACCCCCCAGGGGGATGGCCGTGTCGCAATCCCTTCTCCTCCATTCTCCTCTCAGGATCTTGGGCACGCACGCACATGCACCCAGCGTGAGTTTAAGCCACTGGGTCCCAGACTCGAACCGCGGTCAACTACATGGGAGTCCAGTGACATAGCCATTACGCCACCTGCTGGTCCCCATATTACCCCTATTTCTGACCCTCTGCCCTTTCCCACCCTCCTCTCACACTATCTCTGGTGTCTACAGTTGTTTTCCATTCCTTTTCTCCCCATGGTTTACTGATCACACAATTTCCTAAATAATCTAACTACTTTCAATAGCAAGTTCAGCTGGAAATTTCAAGTAAAGCAGTTTCAACTTTAATGAATAATAAAAAAAAAAATGCTAAGGAACTTTGCTTAAAACGTAAAGCCAGGAAACTGGTTAAGATTCTGTTCAAATAGTAGGTACCTATCTACAGCTGAAGACAGGACAAAACCCCTTAAAACCGGAAAACAAAGCCTAGAAGAAAATCAGCAATGCTTTAGTCAAAGGTCATAAAATGCTATTTCACCAGTTCAGTCTCATGTACTTCATCTATCTTGTGGTTTGATTTCCCGATTAAATTCTAGGATATAATATTTACCTCCAGACTTGTCCCTACAATTAAGTTGGCCATTTTCTTAGTTTTTGAACTCTTATTTCTGTGTGTCTGTATTTAATTTTCCTGATGTAGCACTCCCTTGAGAACTTCTCAGAGATCTGGTCTGATGCTGGTAAATTCTTTCAGGTTTTGTTTATCTGAGAATGTTCTTGTCTTTTCTTCCCATATGAAGGATAATCTTGCCAGGTACAGAGTTCTTGGTTGAAATTGTTTTTCCCTTAACCCTTTGAATATATTTTCCCATTCTTTTCTTCGCTTACATTGTTTCTGATGAGAGGTCTGCCGTTAGTCTGATGGGATATCCTTTGTAGAGAATTTGCCATTTTTCTCTTGCCAATCTTAGTGTCTTGACTTTGTCTGTGGTTTTGGTCAACCTGGCTATAATGTGTCTTGAAGATCTTCTTGGGTTGATTCTATTTAGGGTCCTTTGTATCTCTTGGGACTGGATCTTTGAGTGCCTCTCCAGGTTTGGAAAGTTTTCTTGCAGGATTTCATGGACTAGATTATCAATGCCCTTATGAGTCTTTTTGCCTTCTGGGATACCGATTATTTGGTTGTTTGGACATTTGATGGTATCTAGTATTTCTCATATATTATTCTCATTTTTTAATTTACTTTTTTAAAATTTCATTTTCTTTTATACATTCAATCACATTATTTAGCTTACAAAGTGAATATTTCAACAGGTGAACATTTCTCCCTAGTTCAGTTGATAAAACTGTAAAATATCTTCAACAGATAATACCACATTTCTTTGTCCCATTAATGCTTTGCCTCTTTATTTTTATTCTTATTTTTTTGGGCAATTGTCTCAGTCTTTGTGAAGGATTTTTCTAGGCTAGCGTTTTTCCCTTCTATGTCTGAGATTCTATTTTCTGTATGATCTAGTCTGCTTTTGATAATTTCAAGGGAGATTTTGACTTCCTGTATTACAGCCTTCATCTCTAACAGGTCCATTTGATTCTTTTTTTTTTTAAATTTATAATTTTATTTATTTACTTATTTAAATTTGAGCAGAGAGACACAGAGAGTGAGCAAGAGGGAAACAAGGTAGCAAGCTGCCAGGTCCGGGACTCGAACTGTGGTCAGCCATGTGAGAGTGTCCAGCACCTTAACCACCATGCCACCAGCTGGGCTCCCATTTATTTTTTAAAGTACATATTTTTTCTTTTAGATCTTGCAAGAATTTCTTCACCTTCTGGAACTCGTTAGCTCCTTTCTCCTGCCTCTCTTGCAGTTCATTGTCTCTCTTCTCTTCCATCTCTGTTAGCTTTGTCATTATAAATATTCTAAATTTTTAATCTGACATTTCCATGAGTTTCATTGTACTGTCTGAGGATGAAAAGGAGTTATTTTTTCCCCTTGGAGAACAGGTATTGTCTTGCTTTCCCATATTTCTTGTGACCCTGCAGTGATTTCTAGTCATCTAAATTTTTCAAGTTCAATCTGAGCATTCAGGAACATGCAGAAAGAGCTGATCTGGAAACTCTTTGC